TTATTTTGTGTGTATGAACAAGGTGGTTTTGTCTGCTTTTCAGTACATTTTTTCCCCCTTGGACTGAAAGCAGAATAACCAGGCAATAGCTCAAAGAATGAATGAAACCTACTGTCCTGCAGATCCATCTCTCCTCATTGTGTGGCTTCTCTTAGTCTTGGCAACCTCGAAAGCCCTCACCCCTGCCTCCTGCTCTGCTGGTCTCTTCTGAAGATCACAATGCTCTCTGTTCCCGAGGCTTCCTATCCTCACATGTTACTGTAAAAGCAGGTTGAGGGGTTTTTCCCCCTCAGGTACAATTAGTTTTAAATTTAATGTCTTCATAGAAGAAGAGCTATGCAGAATGTCAGCTACACCATCTGTCCCATCAATATCATCTGTCACTCTGCTTCAGGCCACCTGTGTTAATAAGGAAAGCTTTGCTTTTGCTTGTCAAAATACCTTCAACAATTCTGTGTTTTCTAACCACTTAATTAAAAATAAAAAAGGGGAGGCATACAAAGAGGGGAGGCATAACAAGTTGTAATTGTCAAATTTGTTTTTTTTTCAAGTATGGACTGGAATGTATCTTCCTCTTGGGTTTATTAATTTATTTTAGTGCAAATTGTTACGTTACTTGGAATTGGAAAAAGTGGAGTAAATACAGGAGTGAGAAGAAATCTCAATGTAAAAACATTGCAGAGTATGGCAGATAGAAATAATTGCTTATGGCAGCATGGGAAACTTCACTGAAGTCTAGAGCTTTCAAAATACGTGTTAAAATATCTTCTGTGAAACTTCAGTATGCTAGAGAAGAGCTAATAAAAACCACTACTCTGGAACACTTACTTGATGGGAGTTTGTATTCTTGTTGAAGACAAAATTAACTGTTCTATTATGAAAATATTTATTGTGAGCAGCAGAACTTCAAAACCCAGTTTTCTCTGAATTTATTATTTGTCCTTTTTAGCATGTTTATATATGGGTGTTCCAGCTTTTTATCCTTATTGTCAGAGATTTTTGCTGGGCAAGGGTTGTATATTCTTGGTTGGAATAAACTGGCCAAAGAGCAGTGATACTATTGGAGCTGTTCATGTCTTCCTTTCCAGTAGCACTGATCTTGGTTATCCTTAGCCATTGACAGCTTACAGAACAGTTGAAATTGGACAAAGGATTTAAAGGCAGTTTTGGGGGAAAAGGGGGAAGTAACAGCATGCATAAAACTCGCTTCCTCAGTTAAAAAAATGTAAGAAAGCCTAAAAAAAGTGGGAAGTTAAATATTGCATGTATAAAATCATCCTGATTAGTTAATAATGGTGGTAAGTTAAAAGTTTAAGTAAAAGAAATTAAACATTCATTTATTTATTTAAATGTGCTTGGGAGACTTATTTTCATTGGGTAGCCATTCTCTGGGACATAGAGAATAAGATCAATGTGAAGTTCAACATTTCCTTGTTTCATCTCCACATCTCATCAGTCTCTTGTGGGTGATGTACAGGGTGGTAGTTGGCTATTTTTTGCAGTGGTTTTTTTTTGTGTTTACTTTTGGTTTCTTTGTTTTTGTTTGTTTGGTTTGGGTTTTCAAATTGGTTATGTATACTTAAAATAATGAAAATCTATAAATGGGTCAGCTTCCTGACCTGTTTATATGCTATGACCAGGTGCATAGCATTGCTTGTATACTCACATTTGTTTTAGTATCAGCATGTCTTCAACTGTTCAACTCACCCTAAAATGTGGAAATCAAGTCCCTATAATCTCTTTAGAATTGGGCCTAGTTGTATGTTTAAGCATTTTATATGCTTAGACCTTACAGTGTAATTTTTTGATTAATTTCTCCCTTTGTTCCTTTTTCAAGGTGTCCCCCAAACATATTTAAGATGCTACTGTAATGTCTTCATAACTACAGGACAAAAGCCTTATTTGCTGTCAGAATTTAGGAGGTGTTGATGTATTTAAGTATAAACATTGCACTTTCTCTCAATAAACGGCATCTTTGCTGTGTTCCTTGCAGTCTAACAAGCTTGTCTGTGTTATACAGTTCTAAAAAGTTGTGGTTTTGAAGCTTTTGCACAGAGGCAGTGATGTGTATTCATGGGGTCATGGCCTTTCATTTTGAGTGTTTTGGAGAAGTTTAGCCTGATGCTTGCTCTCTGCTGCACCAGAGCCTGGCAGGTGTGAAAGATGAATGTCAACCAGTTCCCTTACAAGGTGTTCATCCTCGTTTCTGTTTGGAAACAGCTTCAATTACACCGACACTGATGGAGCTCTGTGCACAGTGTAGGAAGCAAGGTGTGCTTGCTTTGGAATTTTCATCTAATATTAATGTTCCCCAAGGGGCCCCTGTGGGCTCAGAGTAGGCTCAGTACTCGTGTGGCTGTGTGCAGCATAAACGCTCTTCTTGGCATCCCCTTTTTCTGGGATGTTTTATAGCAAGGTGCCCACAGTCATTGAATGTGGAGGCATGAAGGCTTTCTGAGTGGGGTGACATGCTCACAGTGGTACAGCCCCTTAGGTATTATGGGATGTCTGCATTGAAATAATTGTTTTTCTCATATATGGGTTCTCCTGTTGTTTATTGACAAATGGTTTTTAGTGGCAGAACGTGCAGCATGCAGCCAGGCATTGCTCTCTCAGATCTGCTGTCAGGTAGAAGTGCTGATGCTGCTGCCAGAGAACTGCTGATTCTGGGTTGTTTTAAGCCAGGATTGGCTTCCCAGTGTAGTTACAGTCAGCATACTGGCATAACTAGGGACGCAGGCTGGGGACTGGGGTGACTGGGGGGGAGCTGGGGTCTGCTGAGATCAACCCAGCTAATAAATGTGTTACCCTTAATATTAAAAAATAGTCTTTGAGTGTGCCCATCAGAACCAAAGCCACAGTTTACTTACAAGCACACCTGTGGCAAAGTCCAGCTGTGAAGAAGTTTAAAAATTGGTCTTTTCCATAAGTTCCTTACTTTTAAGTTTTCAGTTGGTTTACATTAGTTTGTTTAGCATAAAACACTTTCCTCTGCCGGAGCTGTCAAACCGTATATGGTGTTTCACAGGCAGGAACCCAGATTGTCCCCTTTACCTGAGGCAGCACTCATACTGACAGCTTGCTGAAAGAAACTGAGAATGGTTTATTCACTTACAGGGATAATCTGTAGTTTTTTACTGACTTTTCATACCACTGAATGTAAACTATCAGAGTTTGTTATGACTACTTTTCTACACATTTAATGTGCAAGTAAATAGCCAGCAGAATACAAGTGAGTAAGTTAGAAAATGATGTGTATAATATAAATATACTCACAGAAGTAAATGTAAACATCTCTGAGAAGCTTGGATGGCCTTCCAGTGAGTTGTGTAAGTGGCATCTAATGTCTGTGCAGATAAGTAGACAATATGTAGTTGCAACAAGGAAGCATGCACAGATAGAATTAGTTTTAGGTTGGCAAATGTACATACTAATAAATTCTATATTATAATTTGTAGGACCTTGACAATTCAGAGTTGAGTAATTGGATTTTGGAATTAATTACTATGACTTATTTCTGTATTGATCAGTTTTTGTAAAATGAGGTGTTATTTAACTGCCTCAAGACAGCCATATCACTAAAATGCTGTGTACACTTATTTCTGCAAGAGTAATGTATCAGTACAGTTATGTTTGAAGAATTTTTTTAGTCAGGTAGAGGTAATCTGTCTGTTTTGTGCTTATATAAAGAGACACTTACTGTATTGGAGAGAGGCTGACTACAAGGGTGTGCGTACTGACAGAATAAGAGAAATGGCTCCAAACTGAGAGTGGGTTTAGATACGATGTTAAGAAGAAATTCTTTACTGTGGGGGTGGTGAGGTAGTGGAACAAGTTGTGCAGAGAAATTGTGGATGTTCCATCCCTGTAAGTACTATTGTAGATATATAGAATAAATATGCTATAAAACTGAAATAATAAATTATGTTGTACCTACAATTTGACATTTTCCATCAGTAGAAACAGGATGATTTTTCTTTGTGAAAGGCAACACAGAAAGTTGTTGAAAAAATTAACTGTACACAGTAAAAGCACTCTTAGAAGAAAGAGGAAATAGGACTAAAATTGTGTGAGGAAATGAGGCTTTAGCAGGATTTTTTTTGTCCCTGCCTTCTGTCCTTTTGCCCATTTTGGTCTAGGGATCTTTTTTTATAAAAACTAGAATGGTGCCCATAAGACTTATGAAGACAGACAACAGAGAAAAGGCAAGATGTAGAGGACTTGGTCTGTCTGCTCAGTGCATTAGCAGGATGGGAGCTCTTACCTATGGTCACAGCTTGGTGCCTGAGGTAGGATGTCTGTTAGGGTGACTTTAAACATGGTTATGTGTAGACTGAAAGTGCTCACACCAAAGCTATTTATGCATATATATATATATCTAAATATATAAAATATATAAAAATAAATATATAAACCATCATTAAAATATATCTTTAATGTTGCAGAAGAGTGGCACTTTAAATTCTTTGAAGTTGGCTCTGATTCTCTGATTCCAGTACAAATATCAGCTTAATAAACCAGTCCACTCTTGTTAAGAGTAAACCTTGAACACTTTCTGTGGGTGATTAATCCCTTTGGCTTTTCACTTATGGGAGTTTTTATTTAAGGTAGAATAGGAAATGCTTTTGGTGTTTTAATTGTGGTCATCTTTAAAGTGCTTTTAAATATACTGAGAAAAATATAGCAGCTTGGCAGTAGTTCAATCAAAAGGTAAGAAAATTGAGGCCAGCTGAGTTATCTATTACTGTGTGTTACAGAAACACATAGCAGGTGAAGCTCTCAGAGGAGATGGGTACCAGTTTACCACAGCCTCATCTGCTTTCTGCTGATGTTCTTTTACTTTAAGGTATTTAACATAGTTTCTGTGAATATAGGCTAAGTGAACGCTTGTTGCTTTTAAAATTGTTTGTACAGGTCATGTTTATTTTAAATGGGTTTTATTTTGGCCTTGGGATCTTTTTTATAAAAACTAGAATGGTTTTCTTCTCCTGTTCTTCTAGGAAACCCAGCGCTTGCTGGCGGAGCCAGTCCCTGGGATAAAAGCAGAGCCAGATGAAAGCAACGCACGCTATTTTCATGTGGTCATTGCAGGTCCACAGGATTCCCCCTTTGAGGGTGGGACATTTAAACTTGAACTCTTCCTTCCAGAAGAATATCCAATGGCAGCTCCTAAAGTACGTTTCATGACCAAAATTTACCATCCTAATGTAGACAAGCTGGGAAGAATATGTTTAGATATTTTGAAAGGTAAGTGTTACTATGTTTTTTTTCTTCTTAGCATAATAAGTACAGATTTTTGTAAGTTGACCCTAAAAAGAGTTTTCTTGTGTTTAAAGAATATCTTGCTTCTTCTTTAATTGGGAAAATCTTGCTATTTCTGTAGACTGTGTTGAATATGGTGTTTCATAGTGCTATAAATGTTTCTTCAGATAAATGGTCCCCAGCTTTGCAGATTCGTACAGTTCTGCTATCAATCCAGGCTTTGTTAAGTGCTCCCAATCCAGATGATCCACTAGCAAATGATGTAGCTGAGCAATGGAAGACCAATGAAGCCCAAGCCATAGAAACAGGTGATGTATCTTCTAACTTGTTTCTTTCCCCTAGTTTTAGGAATGGCTTACTACTCACTGGCTGGGGTTTGTAAAGCTTGGCCTCTAGTTTTATGTCTGCAACTTGAAGAAACAAAAAATGACTGCATACAGTCATAGTCCAGGTGCCCTGAATGTGCCTACAGTAGTCTATTTTTAAGTCTGTGAGGCTTGATAGAAGAAGCTCTCTTGATCTGTTTTATCTTGAATTTTGATGGTTCTAATTTCCTGATCTAATTTGGAGTTCTGGTAAAATGAAGGAGCATTCTAGTGCTTGTCCTCAATGGCTTAAGGAATGGATTAACAGGTTATGGAAAGTACATCTCTGATACTGCATCTGTTGCAGGCTATAGTGGAATGGAAGAGTTGCTATGTTATGCCTCTTCACTTTTGGATCCACTGCTGTCAGACTGCTTCTATATTATATAAAAGTTGACAGCTGCTGGAATTCAAAATTGCACTTAAAAATATCAGAACTGATAGATTTTGTGTGCTTGCAGCAGTGGTATAAAAGAAATCTTTAAGAATATGGGTTTAAAATTATTTTAATCAAGCCTGAAAACTACATCTTTTCTTAAATGTGTTTTTTTTCTTTACAGCCAGAGCATGGACTAGGCTATATGCCATGAATAATATTTAAATGCGCTTTGAACATCAAGTGTGCATCACTTCTCCTGTTCTGCCAAGACCTCTTCCTTTTTTTGTTTGCATTTAATGGACACAGTCTTAGAAACATTACAGAATAAAAGCCCAGACATCTTCAGTCCTTTGGTGATTAAATGCACATTAGCAAATCTGTGTCTTGTCCTAATTCACTATTGTACCGCATGAGCAGAGGCTAGAAGTATCATCTGGATTGTTGTGAAATTGTTTGAAAGCAGCAGCACATCTCTGCTTTTAATCATTTTTCCCGTCATGGTTTAAGTATAAGCACTGTGAATGAAGGTAGGCAGGGTTAGCTGCGGGGCTTTTTGTTTTAATTTTGTGGGCTCCTTCTCCTTTTTTATGGTGATGCTAATTGCATTGGTAAAAGCAGCTAACCAGTTATATTTTAGAATATACCCTCTAGCCCAGTCTAACTTAGATGCTGTAGATGGACAAGCTTCATTGTTTGAACAAAAAACGGGAACATTAAACATCCATCACCCTCACTAATACTATAGTGATTCTGCTGTCAAGTGTAGAAAAATCCCTCCAAGAAAAAGCTTGTGACCATTTTGTATGGCTTGTCTGGAAAATCTCCTGTAAATCTTATGTTTTAGTAAAATATTTTTTGTTATTCTACTTTGCCTTTGTATAGTTTATTTTGCTGTGTTTTCATTTCCCTGTGACAATCGTATTTAAAAAAATTGAGTCCAGAATTGACAATTTTTCTTCATCAGTCTGACAGATTTAACAGTAAAAAGGGGGAATTCACAAGTTGGTGTGGGGTTTTTTTTTGTTTGTTTTGTTTTGGGTTTTTTTTTTGGGGGGGGTGTTTGGTTTTTTTTCCTTCATCTGTTTCCTGACTTTTTTATTAGTTTGTGTCATGTGGGTGACCTTACCTGGCCAATTTAATATGAAATTGCATTTGGAATGACTTTTAGAAACAAGTCTCTGATGGAACAATTGTAACCTTAATTTTAGTAATGCATCAATGTATGTTTTCCTGAATGAAGTAGGAGGTTGAGAGCAAATGACAGCATTATGAGAATCTGCATAGCAGCACAGTTTTCTAACTTCTGTAATTCCTGCCCTCTATTAACTTGAAATTCCAGTGCATAGAACCACTGTTAGAGCCAGCTTATGAATTGACTGATGTCTGCTTAGCCACTTACGGCTAGCAACTCATAGCACTGGTTTTTCTCTACAAGCCTTATTAAGCTATTTGCTTGAGCAACCGGTCAGCTTAAATAGCAACAAAGCTTCTTTATTGGAGGGAAGGAAAGTGATGAAAAAATTCCTTCTCACCCTTGTTTTCTATGTGTGCATCCTGTCTGGTTGTCCAGTATCTTTTCTGAGAACCCATCTAATTGCTTCCCTTCATTTCTTGTATCTCTGTTCTCTTCCTTTCACCAAGCCCTCTCCCTCACAAAACCAACCAACAAAACAAAAAGCTTAAAAGCTTTTGGCAACCTGAAATGTATAAATGACAGCTTTTAGTGGTTGCAGTAGGGAGTGTTTTGTCATGCAATTCAGGGGTATGGTTATGTAGTCTGTTGGTATTCTCCCTCTTTCACCTCTTCTTCCTCTACTAGCATATGAAATTTCTATAGAATGTGGTGTATTTATTGTGCTCTTATGTAAGATGAAGAATATCTATTAAAACTATGTTTTCCAACAGACAGTGCTTTCAGTGGTTAGTAACTGGTATTGTCCCTCGAAGTTCTCGCCAACATGGTTGAAGAATGGTTCAGAATTAAACTTTTTCACCAAACTGAGTCATAAAAAAACTGTTTTAAAAGTAGTTTCTGTGTTGAATGTAAACCAAAGTTGGGTCAAGGGCTTGTAACATGTTCTTCAGAGTGGGTAAGCACCATTGACCCTCTCTTCTTACAAATGTCTGTTTGGGGTTGGGTGGCCTATGTGCTGGATCTGCTACTAGTGTAGATAACTTATGCAGCAGGCAGCTGAGAATAAGTGAGCTGTGCCGTAGACTCTGGATTCACTTCACCTACCTCTCAATGCTTTATCTTACACTACATATGCAGCTTTCCTCAGCTCGGTCTCCAGTCCAAGGGCTGATGGCACCAGAGGACAGTCAGACCCACCTAAGCATCCTGTTTGAGTGGCTTTCCTCCCTTCAGTAGAGAAACAAGACCTGAGCTGGCACTTAAGCACTTTTATCTTCATAGGCGGGATGAATCCAGATCCAGATGATATATATTAAATAATACTTACTTTACTTTTAAACCTTTTTTAAGAGCCCTGTATGAAGTCAAGCTGGGAATTTCATTCCAGCTTGTGCCAAGGAATGTGTGACAGGCTAAATTCTTTGAAGCCAGTAAGATATGACCTTTTCCTCAGTTAAGCAGGTGTATATTCCCAGTTGCTATGTGAAACTCAGTTATTTCTCTTACACCTATATTATCATACAGCTACCATTGCAGCTGACTAGCAAATGCAGCTATCTTTTAGGGAATGTTAGTTTTATCTCCATTTTTAGAATGTGTCTATTGGATCAACTTAAAGTAACTTTAAAATAAATGGGTTTCCTCTACCATTACTGGTGCTATGTGTCAAATGTCCTAAAATCCTGAGCAAGAGTGATGAAATTGCATTTTATGTGTCAGTGTTTGGGTAGTAACTGTGCAGCTGTTGGGCCTGGGTTATCACATGGGCTCTATAACCACACATGCGAAGTACTTTTGCAGTAGTTTCCTGTAGATCAAGAGGAAGACTTTTGGTTTTGCATAAATACTCTGGTGGTCTCTTCCCATGTAGCCATGTTCTGTCATGGGTATGAAGTGTGTGATTATTGGGAACTGATGGAACAGGTTTTTTGTATCTTAGTCAACTTTAGTCTAAACCAAGTGAAACATTGCTTCAATACTTTCAAGTAATTGTATTTCTAACACATTGAGACTATTGTGGAACATCTTAATAGACTAGTGACATCAAAAATTGTGACATCTCTATTTATATACGTTTCTTCTTGCATTTGGTTTCTTGGGTTTTTTTTTGATTTTTTTTTTGAGGGTTAAATTAAAAATGTCTGGTAGGTATTGTCAATAACATGTCTTGACTGTAATGTGATATGACACTGAAATAAAAGGAAGAGTGATTATTCATTACTTAGGCACTGAGCTTCATTTAACTGCAGTGGGCTGCCATCAGTGTGCAACAAGTTTCTTAAGAGTTCTTAACATCTGGTAAAATAAGAAAGATAACCTTTAACTTTTAACTTTTCAATTGCTTGTGGCTTCCCCTCACATTGTAGAGAGAAGAGTAGCACCCTCTGTCCTAGACATCCTCAGGGGAGACTGCTCTGGTATGCAGCTCAGAGGATGTGTTGAGTCCCTCCCTGGTTTTCCCTTTTTTTGTTTGTTTGATTTTGTTTAGGAGTGTGGGGCATCTTTTGTTGTTTTTTGGGGTTTTTTTGCCTGCCTGCTCAAATCTGACTGGTTTAGTACAAAGCTTTCCTATTTACATGCACAGTTTGGACAGTTTCTAGTGCAATTAAATTGATAAATGTATTGAGCTTTGCTAAATTGTGTTGCATTATGAACATGGCACAAGGTTAATAATCACATGCCTGCTGAGGTAGAGTTTGTACAGTTTATTACAGCCTTTTCTGTGGAAGTATGCAGGATGATTTTAAAGCAAGTATTTAATTGTGCATTAGAAAAGAGGCATCAAACAGCATGACTGCTTTATCTGTGGTGTTTGCTTTCATGAACTCCCCTCAACACTTAGATAAGGGGTTAGGTGAGCGAGTATCTCTGGGTAAAGACTGCTCCAGTGGAAGTGCTCAGGGGAACACTACCCACCTGTGTTAGGAAAGGGAATTGTACCCTAAGAGGACACACCTGGGTAGCTCAGTTAGTTGCTACAGACTTGTCACTGTTGGTCAGCTCATTACTGAGATCGAGTGCTCTACCTGAAAGAGAATTCTTGAGCACTGGAAGGTATAAACTACATGTACTTACCACACTGCATGAGCCTTCCCATGTAAAGAGATGGATGCAAGTGTGGCATGTAACAGAAGCATTTTTATTAGTTCATTTTTTAGGAAGGTAAATACAAAATATTTCACATAAAATAATCTCTGACTGGAGTACTTGTGCAAGGTTGTTCCAGATACTTGTGGAAGCTGGGTTCTTATCTTCAGAGCTGCAGTGACAGAGTATTTTTGGTTCAGGCCTAATCTGCACCTTCCTACCTAAGTTGGCTACTAAGGCTTGCGAGGTAATTTATGAGTCTGAAACATTTCATGTGTGATGTTCAGTTGTTGCTTGCTGTAGTGGCTTGTCTCAGCCTGAATGCCTACTGCCATTTTCCCATTAGCTACTCATGAGTAATACAGTGTTCTTCCAAGCAAAACTGAAGGCTTAGGCTTAGGTAAATTTATGGAATAATATCTGTGAATGCTCAATTGTCAAGGGCAGACTAATCTCACAAAACACAATAAGGTGATTCTAAGGGTATTTTTTCTTCCTTCAGTTGCTGTGAACTCTTCATCTACCTTATTCAAAGACAGGTTGCATTAGTGTCATAGCCAGAAAGCAGAAAAGAAGGAAATATTTAGGAGAGTGAAACAGTTGAATGACAGCAAAAAGGCCCTTAGGACAAGAACCTTGTTACAAAATTTGTCTGGATGTAATGGCCACTAGGCCACAGGTAAGCCAACCGCAGGGTAAGCGCACAAGCTGATGGTCTTTGGCCAGCATCATACATTGCTGTAATGCTTCTTCATACTGCCCATGCATCAGAACTGGTGGTAACAAATGAGGGACAGCTGCTGGGATCCAGTGCTACCACTGAGCTACTGAAAGCAGTGTGGGCGATGAAGCAAGCAGCACCTGATCACACAGCATACACATTCAGTGACCCCTTGCCTTCCTAAAATGGCTATTTGAACAGTATTTTGTGCTTATTTAAGGGAAGAAAATTGTGTGAGAGCATTGTTTGGGGTGGTAGTGCATAGCCCATAGCAATCAGATTGTCACAAGCAGAAAAATGCCTGTGACTGCAGAGTCTGCAGGTTAAGAGGTGGCACCATTCCTTATGTGGAGCATTGTCCTAATGTGGATGTGGTGCTGTTCATCACTTGAGCCAAGGAGGCAGTGTCTTGTCTAATGCCACAGCAGCACTGAGACCTTAAGAGTATTGAAAGAGGGTAAGTTTAAAAAAACCCTAAACTTTTTCAGCTCAAGCTTGAAGATTCTTACGGTCTCTCCAAGTTGTGGGAAAGTCAGTCATTCTGCCTTTCTTGCCATCTGTTGTGCTGTCACACTTCTGCCTCCCTTGAGTCTTATACTTGATGCCTTGAAGATATAGTGATAGGAGCCAGACAGGACCATGGTAAAACTCTCCTTAAGCTGAAGAGGGAGGCGTGGTAACTGCTCCTCGCGAGTCATACTGAGAGGGGGAAATACAGGAGATGCTTACCAGCCTAACAGTGTGGAAGAACGCAGGTTCAAAAAACAAGGTAAGGGGAGGTAGGTCTTCAGCAGCAGGCTGAGCACTGGCACCAGTTTTCAAGTTGGGACAGGCATTGGACATAAGTGCTAAGGGAAGAGGGGAGTGTTATGTCAAGTTAAGAAATGATTCTTTGGAACAATGAGCTCGGTAAAGTTTGAGTG